CACGAGATGACTTGATATTGCGCTTGGGCTGTAGGAGCCCCTCTGGAGTCTGCACACACCCCCATGGGTACTAGCGTGTACCATAATATGCATTGCATTGCACTCATGCATTTATTTTTATCGGTTATACCTGTCTCAGTATTTGGTACTCTAATTTAATTGACTTGTTGCTTCACTATTTGTTGTTCTAAATTGCCAGTTATAGTTTTCTTTGTATTTTTCCATGATTTCTTATTCTCAGCCTTTATTTATGTTTATTACTTACTGGGTCGGAGTACTCACATTACTCCCTGCACCTTGCGTGCAGATCCAGGTACACCACAGGCTAAGTGAGAAATTGTTTAGCTGAGCAGGCAGTATCCCGGAGTATTGAGGTAGCTGCATGGCGTTCGCAGCCTTGATCTCTCCTCTCTATCTCTATCTTTTATTCCGTATTTTTCCTAGACAGACTTGTAATAGGTGGATATTCTGTATTAGAGGCTCATATTCGTGACACCGGATTCTGTTGGGCTATGGTGTGGTGTTTTAATTGAATTTCCGCAGATTTTATTATTAATTATACACTTGAATGAAATGACTTAGTAAAATCTCTGTGATATTTATCTATAATCTGAATAAGAATTTGGGATAATGTTGTTGAATGGTCGGTCTTGCCTAGCAGTGTGTTGGGCGCCATCATAACCGGGGTTGGGGTCGTGACAAGTTGGTATCAGAGCCAGGTTAATTGGTCTCGCGAGTCATGAGCTGGTTTAGTAGAGTCTAGCAGATCGGTACAGAGACGTCTGTATTTATCCTCGAGAGGCTGCAGAACCTTTAGGAAAGACTTCATATTCTTGAATTCTTATCGTGCGTCTTTGATTCATCTTGAAAAAGTGACTCTTACAATTCCTTCCACGTGTTCGTATGTGCGAACAAGCGCTCGGTATTAGATGTGCCTTGATGGCCTGTGATTCCCTGATCGAAGAGAGATGTGACCTATGTGAGTTGATGTTGGCTAGTCTGAAGGACTTGAGGACGGATCTTTGCCTATGGCTTGAGCACCCAGGTGCTAATTGTGCGAGCAAGTGTTTTGAACTTAGATGTATGGTATTGTCCCTATTAGTGGGAATGATGGTTGAATAGTTACGTGAGGAGTATGTTAATATTGCGAGTTGTATCTATATGACTTGGAAGCGACGAGAAGGGTCTGCTGAATGATGGAAGAACTAATAGATGCTTGAAGTCCATCGTGATTCAAGTTATAGCCCGAGTTATGGGCGTATGAAGAATCTTTTAATGTCTCCTAGTTGGGAGTGAAGTAAATTTCATGTTGCGGTATGAGTACAGACTCAGGAAGATCAAGTGACTACGTAATGCTTATGGCGGTGGAAGGTATGTAAAAATGTTAGTTGGGGGCAAAGCAGGTGGGTCATCTCCTGCGGGGTGTTCTAAAGTTGTGTTATCCTTATGTTATCTATTAGAAGACCTCAATTGCAAGTGAATAAAATGTGTTGAAATCTAAATTGGATCGCCTAGAGAGTGGGCTTAACTGTTGTGTGAGTGAATGCGAGATTTGCAGAAGAGTTAAAAATTCTAAATGATTTGTGTTTCCACAAGCTTATGAAGGATCGAGTTTAATCTCACTATGGTATTGAGGCAACAATGGAGTATATGCGTTATGAGTATAGTATGTTGTGATCTATGGCTTCGAGCCAAGTTGGGGAGCTTGTTATTGGTTAGCGGATTGTGCGGTTATGTACTAGGTTAGTTCCGATTTGATGCATGCTGGTGAATCAGTTCTGGTTGTGGAAATTGGGCCGAGAATGGCACGAGTGAAGGAAATTTTTTGACAAGATGTCATGAGCTCGGATGAGCAGGAGATAAGTTTCGATGTTTACGATAAGTTGGTGTTGTCTTCAGCGTCACCTAAGATCAGTGTTTTGTAAAAATGATTTTGCATCCTGGTTAATAATTCTTGATCGCTCTTTAGCGTTAGTGCGACCGGTGGTTTGGATATACGCTCCAGATATTGTTGTGGTAGGTTGTGAGAGTGTGTCCCACGGGAAGATTATATAAGTGTGGCATGTGATCACTTGAGTGATTAAAGATGTAAACCAAGTATTAAGTTTGCAACAATGTGATGTTGAGTATAGTTTTCTATATGCTATTTTGTATGCCTTGCTTCCTGTTTTCTAAGGAAAATCCGTATTAGTGCGTGGGATTGGTAATTCCTTCCAGAGTTCGTTTTCTTTTTTTGTATCGCGTTTGAATTGGTAGCCTATTGGCATATTGGGGCATCATATG